AAATCATTTTAAAAATATCAATATATTCCGTGTATGTGGAAATGAATGTAGAATCAAAGTTCTACTAGAATTGTTCCGCCGGAAGCAATAATAAAATTATGCGCCGATAATGTTAACAAAGAAAATTTCTAAACTCGACTTCCTTAAAGTACAGCATATACGGCAGCAACTCCCATGTACACCAGGTTTACCTTGTTTACAGAATTTATTTGGACTAACGAAGTAATTCTTAATCATCTATCGTATAATCTTTCGGATTATTAAATCGCCGCCCCGATAAAACACTTATCCCGCAACTTTCAAACAACCAGGCCGAGGGCGTGAAGATAATGATATCATGTAAGCCAAAATTTTCCGCGCCCAAAACTAGTCATGCGATGTTTTATTTTGTAAGGTCAGGTGACTCTCACCTGATAAAAAAGTATAAAGAATTCGATCGTCATCCTCTTTTGGACTTGATGATGACACCCACATACCTTGATTTTTCTGACATAGAAAAAGAAAAGGAGAAATGCAAACTTCGTATGTATGCAAAGACGGCTGTACGAAGTTGCACGATCTCTCACATGCTAACCTGTTCGCTGAGGGGTAGCGAGCGTACGGATATCGTTTTCGCAAAGGTAATTATTTATCAATCAAATAATTGCTTGATTCTCGATTATTACTAATGATCACAATTTTGTAAAGGAAACGGCATTAGAATTATTGGAGATCGTGGATGAGGGAACTCTCAATTCGATCATCGAACAGTCTGTATTCGGCACGATAAAAGATATTCGAGTACTTCACTGTGTATTTTCGGAGCCCGTATTATACGATCCGATTGAGGGGAAGGAATGCGTAGATCCGGAAAAAAATTCAGATCTTCGGGTCATTCCCGGTCAGGATATTCTGGTGTGTTTGTCGGATTCCGGAACCTTATCATTCCTCGCATATACGGAGCGCGCGTCTCCAGATGTGATCAAGGGAAAAGGAAAAGCCAATATCGTGCGATACATTGGTGTTTCGAATTCCGACATTGCGAGAATGTCCGGAAAGTTCCAGTCGATTAAAGAGGTTATTGTCTATCTTCAGATTTTGACAAGGCTTAGATATAGTGGAAAAAAAAAAAGAGGTCAACATCGATTGGTCGTGGAATTTGTCAGAATTGTGGTTTAAATTGTTTTATTGTCATTAAGATACATTTGGCGAAGCCTGGATTTGATTTTAAAGACCTCGGACGAATTGTTTGCGTTGATCCCATGTAAGTTATTATTCACCCGATACGTGGACTGACTCATGATTAAAATTCTGTATATTGATTTATTAGGGGTCGTCTAATAGCAGTGGCGGCTTGGTATAGTGCCGTCCAGATATTCTCGCTTCCAAATGAGTCAATATTTAGTTATGACTCATCAGACAAAGTAATAATTCCGTTATTTTAATATTTTCGCGGTCTTGTGAATTCCGATAGTCACTTAAATTCCTTAATATCATTAGGGAAAATCATATTCACAAGAGGGAGTAATTTGGAATATGACATTTTTATATTCTTCTGATGAATCTCGAGCCTTATTGGCAATGGTGGTTGTCGAGTATGTCCATTTTTGTGTTTTTATTGTTGAAGCCGATGTTCGTTTATTCAAATTTCGTCTTTTTTTTTTTTTTTTGCAGTGATGAACAGAAGAGTGCTCGTATTGTGATTTATAATTTCTTGGCGACCGAGAAACTCAACAGTGACGCGAAATCAACGATGATTTCCTTGGAAAAAGGTAGCTTTTCACGAACCATATCAAATTAAATTAGTTCGCCAATTTACTTTACGCGGCATCTTATTAGATTTCCTTCCGATGCATCTTATCCCACTTCCAAATTTTCCCGAGTGTTTTCTGCTAGTTAATGTATGTAAGATAAATTAACAATAATAATAACGGCAAAAGATTATTAACAAATCAAATTACTTATTAATTTGTTTTTCCGAAAAAAAAAAAAATGATCAAACATTTTATTTAGGAGCAGGAGATTTGTTTTATAAATGCAAGGGACGGCGAAATCCAAAATACCAATTTTCATCGAAGTCCTCTCCCTGATCCACATTGTAATTAACCACGTCACGCCTTATTAGTCCTCGATTATGTTGGGTTGCGAGTATTCACGTTTCCTTCTTAAACCACGTTAGCGCTGATGTCCGCATTCGCTTATCCAATGGATACCTCGGTTTTAAAACGAACCGCAGCATTTTCACAGTCACCGAATCAGTATGTCTATGCTGGTATGGAAAATGGGGGTTTATATAGGATTGACATTATCTCGGAAAAAAGCATTGGGTTCACATTGGTGCGAAGTGAAGGGATTAATCCTGTAGGATCTAGCATGACCACATTATGCCTTGACCCTGAAATTGGTGATTTTGTGCTACTAAGTGGAGATATGAGTGATGGTGTTGTTGTCAGGGTGATTGTCATCATCATCATCATCATTATTACTATTATTATTATTATTTTAAATATTTTTAATTTTTAACATTACCTCGACTTATTTAGTCCAACCCAAAATCTAGAGCTGAGATAACATATGAGATACCCAACTGGGCCCCCATGTGGGATTTTCAAATGCTCGATCTTAATCAGGAAGGTCACAAAGTAATATTTTCATGCAGTGGTCGAGACCAACAGGGGTCAATCAGAGTAATTAGAAAATCAGTTGGTGTTAATGTGTTGTCATCATCTGATTATGGATTTGAAGGGTAAAATTTTTTCACTTTTGCTCCTAAATTTTTGCTTTACCAATATCTAAATCCCGGGCTTCCCATATAGAGTAGTTTCACTCTGGAATTTGAAGTATGACGTAAACGATGCTGCGGACACATTTTTGGCTTTAACTTTTGTCGAATCGACACGATTGATGCAAATGACTTCAGAAGGACTTGATGATATTAGTTATCAGAGTGGATTCAATCTTGAGGTTTGCTCAATATTGGTGACTTCTTTTGAGTCAAGACCAGGATACCTGGTTCAAATTTATCAAGAGGCAATCATTGTGTCAAAGCCCAACACTTTTGATGGTAGGCGTGTTTACTCTCATCATGAGGCTTTGCATTGTTCTAAACATACCTCTTTGTAGGATCGAGAACCCCGGATAGGAGTATTGAGAAATACCAATGGTTAACTCCAGAAAACAAACGTATAGAATTGGCGGCTATTTATGGTTCTTTAGTTGTGATGAGCTTGACGAATGGAAATAGCAGCATGATCTTTGTTCTTGAGCTCTACTTTGATACAGTGATGTGAGTTGTTTATGATAATAGGCATTAATAAATCACAAATATCTATTTAATTGATGCCTAACGCTAGATAAATTTTGCTAGAAATAACGTGACTTTTAATGAAATCACGCATGTGGAATTGGATTGTTCACCCAGTTTTATTCGTTGCTTAACTCCAAGGTACGTTTCTTCAAAAATTTTTTTATTAATTAGCATTATAATAAGGTCATTCACATTCTGTGTACTGCATTATTGATGGGTTTATTATGTATATATGTATGTATGCATTAAAAAAAATAAAAAATAAATAAATAATAAAGCCTCCTCGCACCGGTACCACTCTGCATTGTTGGAACTTACAAGACATCAATAAAGTTTTTATTGCTAAGTTCGGATAATTGGTTGAAGACATTGCACGAAGAAGTTTTGGGTAAATTTTAAATTTATATTCCGTGTTTGATATTTCTTATATTACAGACACCAATTATAACCTTTTCCATAGACGCGACAAATAAGATAATCATACCGGAATCGATCTGCATTGTTGGGAACGAGGAGAGAGCTTACTTCTTGGCTGGTAACAGGGAAGGGGCCATCGTGTACTATGAATGGTCGTGGTCATCTGGTAAATTTCGATTCCCTGGCCTTCTTTTCTCATTATCATGATTTTGAATCTTAGACAACACAAACTTTAATAGCTGAAAATAAGTTGCAGTTATCCCAACCGATCTCTAGACGAATCGGTGCATTTCCTGTTAAATTGATAGTTCCGAATTCGAATATTCTGCTGCCGGTTGACGAAGGGAGTGATCCTATCACAATGCTGGCGCTATCTGATCGGCCGTGGAAAATTGAATATTCACACCGCACGGGTTTTAAATTTATTTGCGTGAAATTTGAGAAGTATGAACATGTAGGAAGAAAGAAATATTTTTCTTTGATTTATTTGCACTTGTCACGTGCTATATTTAGTTCTAATTTTCAAATAGGTACAAGAGGCGACTGTCTTTAACTACGCTGATCTACCCCGAGCATATTTCTTTATTGCGAATGATTGTTTAAATTTGGTGCAATTAAACAACTTCACAAATGAAAACTTAAGAACCATACCAGTGAACGATGTGAGCTGGTTTAATTTTTTTTTTTTTTTTTTTTTCGATGTAGATATTATTTAGTTATTCATTTATTTAACGAAAAATTCTAGACACCGCGAAGACTATTTTATGACGATTTTTCAAAATTGATTCTGGTCGCTTGTGCGAGTCACACGAATCCTTTCCCCTCATCTGTTCTTAAATTGATCGATCCAGTGACGTAGGTAAAGCCAATATCAGGGAAAACATCAATAATCTATTCACCAAATTTGTCATTTATTACATGTGGTTTAGTGAGAAAATTGTCGATTCAATTGATTTACAGCCCGAAGGTTCCGATGTCCACGAATCCGTGTATTCGATTTCTGGTAAGAAATCATCGAATTAGATTTCCTTGTGAGGCTTATCTCGTGACATCATTTTTATCGGGTCTCTCTTTTTTTCCTCTTGAATTTACTTTTTTTCACGGGAGTTGTTTAGAATGGAGATTTACCTCGGAGAGGCAAGAATACCGTTGGTTCTGTGTTGGCACCGGATATTCTGAAACAGATAACGATGATATCAGGCAAACCACACTCACCGGTGGTCGTTTCTTGATATTTACGATCAATAAAATGGAAGATGAAAGCGTGAGTTCTTTCATTTTTTTTTTCTCATTTCTTTTTTAATTTCGATTTTCATCTTACATTCAATATATTCATAGGGAACTTCTGACTTTACACATAAATTGATAAAAAGAACGGGGATTGATGTGGATGGTGTTGTGCATGCAATCTGTCCCTTAAGCGACAAGTTAGTTAGTTTTTTTTTTTTTTTTCTTTTGGAAAGGTATTTCAAAATGAATAAAATTCCAATTGTATTTCCGTTGATTGAACAGATATCTCCTTATAAGTTCGGAAAACACATTAAATTTACTGCGTTTTTGTGTAGAGGGGAAAAGGTGTGTTGGAATTTTATAGTGATAGAAACCAAAACTTGGTTTATCATTGCATGCAATATATCAAATTAAATTCACGCTTTACCCATCTTTTTTTCCCTTCGAACAGACTGAGCTTGGTTCATACTCGCGAACTCCAATGGCAAATCTTGTCTATCAATGTTCATGGGACACGAATTTTGGTGGGCACGAGTCAATGCATTATCATGTTTGAATTTATCGCTGAAAGGGAAAGATTCAAGTTATTGAAATCGTAAGCTTTCTTTTTCGAGAAAATTTTCCCTACTCAAGCTGTCATAAATATTATTTTAATGTTTCATCTCAAATCTTTTAGGGATAGATCGATTCGATTGAACCTGGAATCAATACTTTTAAGTGAGGATTTCTCGATGGGATCGGACAAACGAGGAAATGTTTTTGGAATATTGTATAATGAAGGTAAAAATTAATTTGATGGTGACGACGTCAATTAATAGTTAATATACTGTAATGCAAATAAATAAACGATATTTGATCACGCTAATAATATTTAGCTAGCACGGCCATTGATTCTTGTTTACAAACCGTTTTCTCTTTCAACGAAGCCGAGGCAGTTTCGAGATTTCATTGTTCCCTCGGGAATCAAGTCATACCCGAGGATCAACCTATGGAGGTGCTAGCATTGGAAGCTGGAATTGAAATTGAATCCCAAGAGTCTTCGCCCGAGATTAGATGGGATGTCAATCAGGATATCGTCAAACCGAATAATGTCGTTGTCGGATGCTCTCTTTTAGGGAGTGTCTTTTCGTTTACGAGAATTGTCATAAAAGATTATAATCTTTTGTTAGGTCTACAAACTGCGCTTGAAAGCTGGTCAACTACTCGTCCTTGTCTAGGTACGCTCTTTATCAACAATATCAATACACTTTCTTCCATTAATCATGTTTTACCATAAAACACGTCACCCTTATGTGCAGGGAATAACAACGAGCAATTTAGAAAGCTGTTTCATGACGATTCGACGAATCTTGTGATCGACGGGGAAATGGTTTCTCAATTTTTAAAGTTATCTCGAAGCGAACAATGTAAGGTCGTTGATAGCCATCCGAAATTGATCGAAGCGGGCACAATTTTTCTTCGCGGAGAACAATCCCAATCGGAAGAAGAATTGCATAATCCGCCACAGATCGATATTCTTGAGCATCGATATGATATGGATGAGGACTTTCCAATACCCATTTACCAAAATGAGGATTATGAAATGAATGTCGACCGTGAACCTTTGATGGAACAAGATGTTCCGGAAAGAGAATTCTTTGGCGTTGACAAAACCGAAGATCGCGTTGATGGAGGTCTGGGGATATCCCAGGGCACACACGTGGCGTCAACCGAGGAAATCGTGGATGCTCTGCAGATGGTATTATTTAATATAAACAGACAGAGCTTTTAGATGTAGAACTTTTGCTCTAGACTTGCCATTCCCTGGTTTATTTTTAATTATCCATGTATATTACATGTAAAAAAAAAAAAGTAAATAATTTTGGTTGCATTTTCATTGCTAGTTTTCATCTTTAAATCATATCGAGATAGTTAGGAAGGTGGTTTGACCCGCCGATGAATGGTCGTATATAAACAGTTTTGCTTTGAAAATTGAAACCGCCAACGTTGTATAAATCTGCGACTTTTGAAATTTTATTATCACTGCACTTCAACGCATCGCTCAAGTTTGGAATTCAACCTTTTCACAATGTCTTAGAGCATTTTTATATTATGGCTCCTCTTAATGGTGTTGTTCAATAATCATTTAGAAAATGACCAAAATTTCATGAGTAAAAAGACAACGGGTCAGAAACAAACGTCAACAATGACCATTGCTGGTTCCATTCTGTTAAAGCAGAAGTGACTAATTGAGAATTTCAAAGAAAACGAAACGAATAATAGATTTCCGATAATTGTGATAATCGTGATAATTGTCTTGAGAACATTTTGCAACGTACTATGTGTATGTGCGTACGTATACAGTATACGGTACTTATAGGATTATTTTAATGTCGTGAAGATGAACAATTTTTCAAAAATTTCAAAGAATGAACATTTAAACAACTTGTGTGATCGATCGGTAGTAAAATTCCTTTATTAAACCATCTTAAACTTATAAAATTTCTCTCATACCATGTATCAGTGTTAGAAACTACTGTAGATGTGCAAAGAAAAGCTTTTGCACGAAATTGGTAAACGAACTCTTAACTCAGCCGTGTACAGTCAACCGCGAAAGTAGCGCCCGATTTTTTTACGTACAGAATATGATAAGAAAAATCGGGTGTTACTTTTGCGGTTGACTGTATTATAATGAATTGTAGTAGCTACGTATTAAGAACATTCCGTATAAAACGGAAAAGATGCACTAGGTGCAGACATTCGATGGTGGTTTTCGTTTAACAACCTGATCTTATAATTATGAGCGATCAAGAATTGACTATTTGACACTATGGAATTTAGATTTGAGAGATCCATGATTCCTTGATAACAATTTTTTAAGTACATTTCATGTGTCCTTTGATTTTCTGAAAATTCCTCGAATTCGTTATTCATTCCATGAATTCCGTCCCCAAAAACATCAGGTACGGCTTGTGCACTGGAATTGTTTTCAGTCTCACTAATGGTTCTAATATGGAGTAGAACTCCAGGAGTGTTAGTGGGAACTTTCGTCTTTCTCTTGGAAATTTGTTTGTTTATTTCCCTCCCTCTTGGTGTTTTAGAAAGCTGTTGATTCCAATAATTTTTAACGGTGTTTGAAGTACGCCCATTGCCTATTTTTTTCGCAATTTGTGACCAGCCATTACCCTCCTGACGTAACTCATATATTTTTGCTACTTCTTTGCGCGTAAAAGGACCTTTATTGACTAGCGTGAAATTATTTATTAGAAGTTTTTTTTTTATGTTAAACATCTCATAATTTTTATCTTCAAAATATTACCTTTCGGGTCCAAGTGATTGCAATACCTTTAGGATGAAGAAGGAAGAACATAGGTTGGTTGGTTTCAAATGTTTAAATTAATTGACTTTAAATGTTATGTCTGAACTCGAGCGATCTAGTGCACGCGAGTGTCAAAGCTTACCTTTCTCTACATTGCTTTGGGTTCCTGGTCCCCACGTATTTTGCGGCGTCTTTCCACTTTCGGGGACCAAACCTTTTAACATGTTCGTTCAGCTTTTCATCTTCCTGAACAACAGTAACAAAAAAAAGAAAAGAAAAGAAAAAAGAAGAGTTATATTGTATCCCAATGACATTTCTATAATCATTCTATGCAATATTATATTGACATGCATTATGATTATTATTATTATTTACCTCAGCACTGAAGTGGCCTTTATTTAAGACAGACATTAATGATCATAACTAACTCAGGTCAAAACCTCCATTATTTATAAATTAATGATGGAAAGATAATCTGTTGTGTTTTCTGAAATATATTCCATTTGTAAACCTGGCCACAATATATACAATGAATAAAGTACTTATTTGGGGTGTAACTGGAACCAATACTGTCATATGGACTTTTATAGAGGCATTCTAAATGTGTAGCTTGTTTCTACGAATGTACAGCACTTTGGGTGACAATATCAAAGTAATCAGTACAATTTGGTGCGTATGCGTACTAATGGTCCTTTTATCAAATACCAAAAGGAAAAAACGTTTTCCTTTAGAAGCAAATTCAATTACGAATTTTACATCACTAGGGCAATTTTAGTTCTCAAAACACTGCATCTCCGAATAAGTGCACTAAAGATCTAGTCGGAATTGCCTTTCACGAATTCCTATATGTAATGTAGTGGTTGCGTAGCGGAGTTTAAATTTTCCTAAAACCGTTTTTAAATCGCAAACCGCCAATTTGTGCAACTCTGTTCATATCAAATGGGTTGGCCACGAAATTATTCCGAACTATCTGAGAGCCGGATTATATGGCCTTTAAAGTGCGATATATATATATACTGTATATTTTTATTATCTAAAATTATCTCATTGATCACAAACGGTTTGAAATACGGCATTTTAAATTGATTTTCTTACCTAACTGACTGCGGAGGAAACCATGAGATAAATCATGGATGCATGAGATGAGACGAATAGCAAGGGTCGAGAGTCGAATGATCCGGTTATTATGATATTTGGCAACAACGACCAATTCTTTTCATTTTATTGATAATATTTTTAAGGTTTGGTAGTAATATACAGAGGCACTGCAAGAAAACCCTAAAATATCTATTTCTACTTATGCATTTTTTAATTTATTCAGAGTTTAAAGAAAAAAAAATTTTTTTTGTCTGTTGTTGTTGAAAATTCAGCTACAGCATTTTTTCCATAATAAAGACCCAAATTAACATGTCCTAACCCGAATCCATATACATAAAGATCTAAGTGAATGCTATAAAAAATATTTGTATCAGTAAGACGGTAAGTCATAATAGGCTCTTTTTTAATAATGCGAATTTTTTTACATTATACATCACATGACAATTGTAAGAATACATTACCTATACTGCAATAACTCTTAAATCGTAAGCTGTTCCAGTCGACCTCGACGTACTGTATGTGGGAGGGGGGAGGGGTTTAAGGTGGATATATCAATATGATAATCTTTATTAAGAAAGTCGACAGGTGTGGTCGTTTGTCGGATGGTGGCCTATCGAGGTGCTTGATATGTGGTAAATGTGTTCCAGACATGACTAAAAGATGGTAATTGTATGTTGGATTGCCTCGTTGAATAATCCAAAGGCGGCAATTTTATGTCATCTAGCGAATCGGCGAACTTTCGGTCTTCAGGATGGTCAACTGGTTCGGCTTTCGGTTTTTCAAGATGCTCACCCGAATGACTAACGAATGCCGATTGTGCACCGATATTATCTCTATGCTCTCCTGTGAAAATTTCGATATCCCTATTTAGAAATTGGTTGGCGTGCATTTTTGCGAAAAATTTCTCATTTTTTCCGTCTATTTCTTTTCCTCTTGATGTCTTGGAGAGCCTCTGATTCCAAACATTTTTAATTGTATTTGGAGTACGTTTGTTTCCAAGTTCCCTTGCAATCTCGGCCCATTTTTTTTTCAAAATACGTAAACTATATATTTTCTCAATCTCTTCCTCCGTTAAAGGTTTTTTATTAACTAGAATGGAATCGTTAGCAAACTTCATTTTTGAAAACAACTTTTATCATAAATTTTATTTTTGAAAACTCTACCTTCGACCAAGTGACCATAATATCTTTAGGTACATAAATAGAGTTTATTAATTTCAGAGTATTCAGAAAAGCAAAATAATTTGTTTTTTCACTCAATCCAGTTGAAAGAACGCAGGCGTTAACCGACACTTACCTTTCCCTACACTGTTTAGGACATCTGGTTTTTAGATAATTTGCGGCATCACGCCACTTATGGGGACCGTTTTTGCGGACATAGTCTCGCAGCATGTCATCCTCCTGAACAGCAATGATCACGAAAAGAGAGGAAAATTGTGTGGTGAACGACTACTACTTTATGGCTACAAATAAAATATTAAAATGAAATTTACCTGCTTAGTGAATCGGCCTTTCTTCGTTCTTTGCAAAGACATTAATAAGTGGTTGTAATTTTCATTGTCTTTTATGTATTTTAGCATCAATTTAATCTTAACTTTGTAGGTAAAGGTTCCTTTACACAGTTTCATTTAGCCTGCGCCATGAGGAAATGCGGCGATTACACAGTCAATCATTTATAACATTTGAAGGCGTCCGTGCGCACATACGTACGTGCACGACTGTCTCTAGAATGTCATTCAAAGAATTCTCAAGTTCCACAAGTAGTTAGACCTAATAGCGAATAAATATATTAAGTTTATTTGCTTTTCCGAATTTTCCGGACGATCAAACATAAACACCAAAAAAAAAGAGAAAGAGAAAGAGAAATAAAAAAAAGAAAAGGAAAAATGAATGGTATGTTTATACACAATCCTCAAACATGAATAAAAGACGGGTGAAAGAAAAAATTGCCAATTTTAGGCACAGAATTTGCCTGGTCGGTATAAATCGGTGCCTTCATTAAAATTGCTTTAACCTGATATTGTTTACTTTGAATTTAAACGATAAATGGACATGAATGGCCGATGGATTGATTACTCCTAAAAATTATGCAAGTAGCACACACCAATAATACAGAAAATCGAATCGTCAAAACATATGCAGTACGTACCAAGGATTAATGTCTTCTCTTGGCTAGTTAACCTTTGACCGGAATTTTCTTTGATCATTGCGTTGATTATAAACACAATAAAAATTCATTGGCGTTAAAAATGAGTAATAAATGAACTATACGCGTATGTTTGTTATGATAACAAATTAAAGACATAGGCGTACAGGTGTTGGTTATCTTCCACCAATTTTAATAGCTGATTTGACTATTTTAATAGTTGATTTGACAGATTTTTTAATGCAGAAATATTATATATTATACTGTATTTATTTCGTTATCTATTCAGTAATAAATTTACCTTTAAATTATTATTTGTGCACGAAATTTTCATAAAAAATAAATAAATAAATAAATAAATAAAATAAAATAAAATTATAATATAAAATATAAATACATTCGATTTTTGTTTTCAACAATAATCCTTAAGTGCAGTTTATCGATTATTGAAATTTCAATGATATTCAAAAAGAAAATTTACTGCTTATATTATACTTTACTTCTTTTTATGGCAAATAAATAATCAATATTTTATTAATTCTGACAACTTGATAAGATATAATTATCTACTCTTATAAGTCTTTTTTATTATTTTCGAATTATAAACTTCTTCAATTTTAATATCATTAAATTTATAATTTAGTGTTCAAATTATAAGATTCACATATAATATTCTTAAATAAATATAGATATATATGTTTTCGTATTGTCAAAGAATTTTTTTAGCTTATTAACTATTATACAATTTGTGATAAATATAGATTGAAAATTTTTGACAGAAAAATCTATTCATCAAGTTTTAAATATTACTATTTTGTTTTTTTTTTTAACTTAGAATTATATTATTATAATATATTATTGATAAAAATTTATAATACTATATGAACTATTAATATAATAGTTAGCTTATTCAAATAATACAAGATGCTCATTAAATTTATTTGAATTGAATAAAATAATGTCAAAGTTTGATACTTTAAGTAAAATTTAGAAAACAATATTTTACTTTTAAAATATATTGATATTTATCTCTATTTATTGAAATTGTTATTAATAATTTGTTACTATAAAAAATAATAAATTGATATTAAAAAAAAAAACAATTCAAGACTTTTTAAAAAGATTTTTAATCGATTAAACAATTTTTTTTCAAAAAGAGCCTATCTAATTGAAATGTTTTCCAACTTTAATCGATTTAAAAAACTTTATTATTTCCGAATAATAAGATTTTTTAAAGAATATTTGAAACCATTATCTTTTAATTAATATATAAATTTATTTACTATACTTTTATATAATATTATGCTAAAAGATTTTATCTAATTAAAATGAAAAAATAGAAAAAAAACTCTTTTAATTTATCTTTTAATTATATATAAAAAAGATAATTAAAAAAAGTTTTATATTTTTATATCAATAAAATATTATTACTTTATTAAAAAAATTATAAAAATAACTTCAAAAAATATTTTCACTTTTATCTTTTTCAAACAAAAACTTAACTTTTAATACTTAAAAAAAATCAAAAATATTTTTTCTATCTATAGCAAAAAAGTTTTAAAAGAAAGAAAAACCAATAGCAAAGTATTGAAAACCTATCATTTAAAGTAAACGTATATATAAAAA